AAATTCAATAGAAAGGTTTCTACCTATATTTTAAATAATCAGATTACACTGGGATTTCAAAATTAATTTCCCTTTCTTGGGCAGTTTTATGTTGTGTTTTGGGAATAATCACAGAAATTGAACACTGCAAATGAAAATCCTGGGTTTATTGAGGTCACTAGGGCAACTCCTACTGATTTCAATTGGGCCAGGGCCTCGCTTTATGGGGAAGTCTTGGGGAGAAAATAAATTCAGACTTCTGGAAATGAAGCAGCATGCCAAAAAGCCTTTTCTTAAATTTTATTTTCAACATGGTCAGACTGCCATGTGAGAAAGCAGCTCCGTTCATTGCCTTCAGGAAATCAGCAGGTATTCCTGCTCCCACTGATTGCTTGCAAGCATGGTAGAATAGGCTGGCTTAAAAGCTGCTGCTTTTCACAGTGGCCAAATACTGCTGATGGGCTAAGTCCCCATCTCACCCCTGTGCCAGGAACTGGCACACACATGCTTCTCTGCCATCACTGAACCCAGAGCAAGAGACTGATGCAGCTCTACCTAACATGAATTTCCAAAGCAAGTGTGTAGCACTTCTGTCAGATTTCAGCCAGAAATAGAGGAGAATGTCCCTTTGGATGAGATCGGCCATCCTTTATTCATCTTGTCCCCTGGTTTATCAGAGAAACTGAGGCTGCTAGCAGCACCGATCTCCTGTAACATACCTAGCTAGGCTGCTGCCGCTGCCGCGGTCCTTTCTGCACCAAATCACACTGATATCTAGCACACATTAAAAAGCTGGTATGATTAGTATAGAACAAGGCATAGGACAGTTCTAGTTTGGAACTGGCTTTAAACAGATGAGACGCACAGGACACATAAGGGAATTTAGATCAAGAATGTAGCAGTGTGGTACCAAGTACTGCAGTAAGAATTCTAGAAAAACAACTTACCGAAAGTGACAAGTTTCATGCCTGTAAACATGCTTTAATCATAATTTTTGATGAAATCTGAAGGTACTGTTTTTACTGGGGAAGACTACCTCAATTAAATTTCCATGTCTCTATATCACTGTGGAGTATTTCTTATCACTGTCTAGTAACACCTGAAGAGTCTTGGAGATGGACACCATGAAGTGGTGCTTCAGCTTCACTGACCACAAAAGTATCTAAAATTAAGCTTCAAATCTCCTGGAAGACAATTTTAAGTAAGAAAATAGTCAGAATTCTGAATAGTATTACATAATTAACTTTTCAGCAGAGAACAGCGTCTTGGCACTAACCATGTCCTTTATTCTGATATATCAGACTGAAAACCATGGCCCTTCCCCTGCCAACTGTCTTTCAGAATAAACACAAGACCTTCCCCCCTTCATCTCCACATATTTAATAATATTAATAGAAAATTAAAATATTAATGCTAGTAGACAAAGTCTTTCATAAGGCACAAAAATGAATTCATTCACTCTAGCTCATTAGCTTAATCATCATCCTTTTTACAATGTAACTGATTAACATTTTCATTGTTGTTGTTTTTTCCTTAGACTTTTACTTCTTTGGGCATCAAAAGATCTCTGAATACATAAGCTTGAGAAATATCTGTGCACAACTGCAGAAGAATAGAAATCACTAAAAGAGATAACCAAGTAAAGGCTTTCACAGCTCATGCTTCAAAGATACTGCAGGAAACAGCAATTTAAGAACCATTTTTATTTGTAAGTTTAATGCGATTATACACATTCATGAGTCCAACAAGATCTGCACTGTGACATTAAAGATACAGTACAATAACATTCAACATGAGGTACTTCATATTTATATATATCTGTCCTTTATAAATAATGCTGTAAGCTTGCTAAGGTCAAACACTGCTCCAGCACAAACGGGTGCTGGGACCTGAAGTTAGCTGAGTTTATCACAACAAATTAAAAAAGAAACCAAAACAGTTCAGTGCAATAAGTATGTAGAAATTAAAATGTTTACTTAAATACTATTTTAGATATGCAGAAAGTATATTACATTATACTTTCTTATCACTGATTCCCCTCACCAGGAAAATCAAACATACAAGTAGCAAAAGATGGCCAGGTACAGTTTAAGATAGAATCTACAAAAGGATCTCTATTGACATTATGCTTACATTCCAGGTTGATATGGCTGATGCTTACAAAATGTCGATCAATGTATTCAAGCTTGGATGCTACTGCTAAACCAACCAAATCCACATTTAGACACCTATTTAAGTGCCCTGATGCCTTAAGGTGACTGGTACTAGCCACCTTCTTATACACCAGTACTTGTTAGCATCAAGCAGTACTTGGAATCAAGTCGCGCTGTAAGCATCAAAAGGTGTTTTGGGGTGCTTATGTGTATTCATCCATATTGAAAAACTATACATGCACCAGCTCCTAAAACCTGGAATGGACTCAGAGGAATTAAGCTAGAAGTAGCTTTCATCCTACTTTGTCAAAAAGATTTCATAAAAGTAGCAAAAAAAAAATAATAATTAAATAACAGCTCACTTCTACCTATTACAGCTGCACAGTATTCTGATCTCCTAACTCCTGTTCCAGCCAGCAAATGTAGTAGACAGCTCACCTTTATTTGCAGATAAGTAAAAACCAAAAAATAAATTAAAAGCGAGAACTCAAGTAGTGTTATACCAATGCAGTACTCTCTGATTTGTCCCACCAGCTGAGGCACCTGATTTTTTTCCAAACAATTCCAAATGCAGCTTGCTACTGCAAGCAACTTGTCAATCTGATCATCACTCAGAGTAATTACATCAACCACTTGCTGTAAGAAAACTTAATCAGCTGATTAGCATCTTTTTCTGCTTTCAAATATATTTAAATAAATGGAACTGCTGCTCAGATGTTGTCTAAAAGTAGATGACCATTACCTCATCACCATCCCTTTTGCAGTCTCTTCAGCAACTCTTCCTCCAATCCATACAATTTATACACTTGTCTATTTTAGGCTGCAGATCCAAATATAATTAACTGGAGGTTTTTTAAATCTCTCTCTGGGAGTTTTCCATGGAGCATTCTGTTTAGATTTCACTAACAGTCTGGATTATGTACATCTGTTACAAAAAACCAAAACATTTTTCTATATATTTTGAGGTTATTTACATTTCAGAAAGAACGTTGCTTACACATACACACGTATTGTATGTATGTATATAAAACATTAAACACTAAGATGGGTGAAAAGCATGGATTTTGTAGGGCAGTTTTTTACCTGGCTCTCCTTTTATTACCTAGAGAGAGGATCTGGGCTTTGACCATAAAGTGTTCGATGTCTACACTCCAGTTTTCCTTACTTCAGATGGTATTTTGGACACTGTAAAGACATACCAGCACTTTATGACGGCCAGGGCCCAGGATTCCAACCGTCAAGAAACACTTAGAGTAATAGTATTAAACTGGTAAGAAATCATATGAGAAAAACATTTTTATTACAAAAGTGACAAGTGAATTTAGGATTATGCTACATTAATGTGTTGATATACCATAGTATTAATATTCAGTCTGTCTAAAGAATCATTTGGTCCTCTCATTTTGTTAAAACATACGCAACAAACAGAACCCATTTCAGAGGTGAAATAAGAATGAGATGCTTTACAATAGGCAGTCTGCCTCTGAGAAGCAAATGTCCCAATGCAATGGTGAAGGATTTTCTGATGATTAAATAGTGCCTGTATTTCTTATTTATACTTGTTTCCTTCCCTGATAAAAGGAGTCATGATCCCTACTACTTTTCCAAAACTGATACAGACCTGTAACAGGAAGTTTAGAAAAAAAATTTCAGACAAGGAAAAAGTTCTGTACCACATAATCCTCTGATTGATGTGTAACCATAAGCAGTTGCAAGAATCCAACATTAATGCATTAGAGAAGACTTCCTCCTCCTCACTGTTCTCTGATGATATACACCAAGTGTAATATGACCACAGTTGGGAATCTTCCATCTTTGTCTAAATTTTCACTGATAACATATGGTAATAAAAAGAAGAAATCTCATGTTACAGAAAAAAGTCCAAGACAGGACTGGCACATTCTTTTGTTCCTCTAAAATCCCCCTCTACCATGTTTAGGAAGAAGAAAAAACCCCACCCAAAACAAGCAAAAAATTATCCTGCATTGGATGACAGATATTAATTCCCATTTATTTAGCAAGGGTTCAAAGAAAAGCCATTTAAATAGCAAATCAACTTCAATGTAGCAAAAACTAGGTCACGGGAGTAGAGTTTCAAGAGCTGCATAAACAATTTGAACATGTGCAAGTACTTCCTTGCCTTCAAGGTGGGATTTCTAGAAAATTAATTCTGAGGGTGACCTGCCAAGCCCACATCCGCCCCCACTGTAAACATGTCCACGCACTGGACATGGTCAGCATGCTTGTGTAGCTTCCTGAAAGCTACTTGCTTCTCTCCATCTTCCCCTGCAGCCATCCCAAACAGTTGACCATGGGAGAATCTCACAGGATGCAGGTTTAAACTTAGGCTTTTTCTGCTTACAACTGAAACACTTCTTTCAGCTCCCATAATCGAAAGCAGCTTATTATTGGAATCTCTTAAGTCCAAAGAGCAGACAGAAGAGAGAGCTATAAAACAAGGCTCTTCATTTTCTACCTCTACCTTCCCAAATAATTACAACCAGAAAAAGCAGGAAATGGAAGAAAACTGATCAATGAAGACAGCGTTTAGTGAGATACAAGAGGGGGACATCCTCTGGTGATTCACAGGTGCAAAGAAAGGGTCAGCATCACCAGCAAACAGGCACCTCTCTTACAAAGCCTTTAAAACGTGCGTGTTCCTAAGAGCTTCCAGTTTAAAGTTAAATTTTACACTTAAACTTTATCACCAACGATGCTACAAGTATAGCAAGCCAGCTACTTGCCCACAGCATTTAGTTACATATTACCTGTACTGATCACACATCTGCAGATAAAAAGCTAAGCATCAGTAGACCTGAACCAGATAGGTTCTTCAGAGTAAAATGCTTTGTCTCCGCACGCTTTCATTCAAGCATAAAATATGAGTTCGGGAATTTGCCCTCCCTGTACCCCAGTGCCATTCGTACTGTCCGAGGAGCACTGAAACTGAACAGTCACCTTCCCACACTGAACTTCTGTCATTCCTTCTTGGCCAAAATAGCTGAGTTCATTACCATCCAGAATCACGCTAGCAGTGTAAAAGGTGTCAGGCTCAATCTGCACTGGATATTCAAACCACACAGGAAAAGTGTTACTAGAACCATCTGAGAAATATTTACTCAAGTTCTGGCCTAGGATAACTCCTTGTCGTTTGAGTTCAATCTTGGCGCTGTACTCTGCTGATCCACAGCTGGAGCCGTACAGCCCAAAGCCAGCAATAAACACTCTCTTATCAACAGCAAACTGGATGCTGTCACACCGGCCCCTGTAGCGCCACTGGTTGCTGCGGTAAGCGCAGGACTGGAAACGGTGGCATCGCTGAGGAACAAGACCTTTCCGGGGCTTGCTTACAAACTGTAACTCTGGCTTTTTGGCAGCTGTATACCAGAGGAAGATATCATTGGTTTCGTTGAGAGTCAGAATCCCAGACTGAGCAGCGCCATTTGCAAAGTCGTCGAGTGCCATGGTAGGGATGCGTATCAAGTACAGAGCCTTCCCGAGGACTTTGCGCTTGTTCTCTATGGTAGCCGTTAGCTCTTGTCGCTGACACTCCACTTCAGCCCAGTTCAGAGCTGCTTCGAAAACAACAATTTCTTTGGCATTCAGAGTCTCCCTTCGGAGAATGCTTTCAAGTGTCTGAAAATCAATGTCACAGAACCCTTCAGACTTCAAAGCTAGCTCAGCTTGGGCATCAATCACTTCCCAACAGCGCTGGGTCAGGTCAGGTTCCTCGAATAGGCAGCTCTGGGAAAGCAGCACACAGGCATTCTTTGCACTTAGACTGGTCTCTAGGAAGTTGACGCAGGCGCGGGCAAGATGAGGAACAATGTACTTCTTGGCAGCATAAAGAGTGGCCAGTACAGTATCCGCAGCCAAATCAATTTCATCACAATATATGTATCTGAAATAAAACACATGCATGTAAAACTGCTGCTTGATGCAAAAATGCAATTTGTCAACAACATCTGAAAACTATAAACAAAGAAGGTTTAAATGACTCCACATTAAAACTAAGTAGTGCTTTTGGGGAACATTGATTAATCCAGAAAGAAAGTAGAAACCAAATTCATCACTCCTGTAAGACCATGGAAGAGAACAGGCTTAAATTCAAGGTGAATAAAACTTCACGTTTGGGGTACCTGCTATGCAGACAATGGTTACATCATCGTCCCTCCAGCTCTGATCTCCTTCCATACATGCTTTGGCTAATGAGAGGCTATCTGCCCCAGGCAGTGGCTCCTCAAGGGCTACCTTACTCAGCTAACACATAAGTCTTGTAACACGTGACAAATGATGATTTAATGAGGTGTATATACAAGTACAGGAATGGAAACAAGTTTATTGGGAATAACTAGCCAGTCTAAGAATAGAAGTACTATAAAAGTATATCAGGTGCTACCCATCTTTGTAACTACTGGGTCTGTGGGTTTGTTTTTTTTTTGGTTGTTTTTTTGGGTTTTTTTTTTTTTTTTCAGGGGGAGAGGTTAGGTTTGTTTTGGCTTTGTTTTTTTTAACAAGGTGATGAAACATCTAGGGAGAGGCACAGAATTCAATTTTCAGGTTTATTAATGCTTACAGCATCCTAGTTCCGCTACCACAGTGTTTTCTCTCAGTCTCATTGCATAAGAAAGAAAAAAGCTTTACTGCTACGCTATCGTAGTAGAAGAGATGAAGGTGAAATTCTATTTATGTGACTAAACTGCTGGGATTCATTGCTCAGAGAAATGAAGCATTGTACAGTTTGTTCTTTTTAATATCTCATGCTTCAGGGCCCCATTTGCAGCTGGTGAATCCAATGTGCTAAACCCATGCCAAATGCAATTTTACTCTTCATAGGGATAAGCAAGTCTTGATGGTTATGGTTGATAAAAGTGTCTTCCTCCAGTAAAGCTAAAGTTGTGTGCGACCCTGTATTAATTAAAATTTTCTAGTTAGCAGGTTTCCCAATAAAATGAATTTTTTGCAGAACAGTTGTGCTTATAAAGTAGAATTAGTATCTACTCTGATCTGATTATAGTTGTAAATATCTTTATTTTTATTTTTGCAGGTATAGGGTACTATCCTCCAAGCCACAATTAGAAAACATGCTCAGAGCAGGTATTGCTCAAGCAACGTAATAAAATCTAAGAGGTTACAGAGAAAAAGAATACTTACACAGACCCAAACCTTTTTTTTTTTTTTTAATCTTTATTACAAATAGCCCGGCTGAAACCAAGTAACAACAAAGAGCACATCTATCTATCACTGGTTAAAGGCTTAGCTCCTTTACTGTCCAAAAAATTTCCAATGTATCAATTAATTCATTTTTATGATTCTCCTCGTTGCTCTCCAACTCTTTTCTCCCTTCTATTACTTCTCTTTGCCTCCTAGTATAGCAGAGATGACATCTGTTTTAAATTGAAATGGTACAAAAGTTGCTAGTTTAATATTCATGAAAGTGAAGAACTAATATCACTGATTTACAACAGACACAGCACAGATCAGCTGTCAGCAATATTCCACACTTGTCATTCTGCTGATGCACCTCAACTCTGGTCTGCAATTACTGATATTCCAGTTTCACCCTGTTCTTAAACAGAGGATTCTGCTAGACCACAGGGATTGATGGTTTAGTAGCACATTCATCCAGGGATAAGACGAGACCACGGTTCTAACTTGAACAGTGAAGATTCAGATAAGATATAACATGTTAAAGACAGCCAAAGCAATTTTACTGGGAGAATTAGTATCTACCAGTTGAGGTATTATTTCCTATGTTACATTTGGTAATACCTTGTCTGATGTTTGCTGTCAGAATGCCCACTATATAGTAAAAGACAAAAAATATTTATGGTATAAGAATTCACTATCCAGGAAAAAAAAACAAACAAAAAAACCCCCAAAAAACCAACACCAAGTCCCAAAAAACAACAAAACACAACTCAATGTATTTTCTGACAAAGATTACGATGCATTCATTCGTCCTGACTGTGGAAAGGAGCGTATGAAGGAGAAGGCTGCTTCAGGATAGGTTAAAAAGTCTTTTCCTTCTCTAGCAACAGTATCATAAGCCTTCTGCCACCCACTGCTCACAGCAGTTGCAAGCAACACTCATGGGGATGATTTCCCATGGGCAGAGGAGTGAAGGGGACTGTGGCCCTCCCCAAGCTCCACCCAGTGCAGCACATGCACTGGATCCTGTGATGAGGGGAATGCTGCACTGCTGAGCAACATCCCTTTCCCTTCCTTGCACTGTCACCGCTGCAGACAACCCTGGCGTTTGCAGACACAGGAGCACTCTGCAGGTTCAGGCACACTGCATCAGTGGGAGTTAGCACTGGCAAGGTTAGCCCAACATCCATAAAGATCACAAACCTTTTGTGGTCTTTTGGTTTCTTAAATAAAAGCTGAGAAGGTGAAGAATTCCATGTTTCTGGCCATGCTCTCAAAGATAGTCTCCGAAATTGCCATGGGCTAAATAATATGCCAAGACCTAGATGTCAGTATTGATACTCTCTTTTCTAGGTTTGCTCTCTGAACACATTTCTTAATGGTAAATTCAGAAAGCATCCAGTTTTTACATGGCAAATCATGTTTAGCCACAGTGAAACAGATTTGCTATTCAAAAAGGGAGGGGGACCAGGGGAATCCAAGTATCTTGTATTTGTGCCTTGTAAAATTCTGCATGAAAGTAAAGCACAAGTCTGAGCTCTGCAGAAAACACCCACAAAACCAGAAAGGCCCAAAGCAGGGATCCATAATGCACCTAGTTACATAATGTCACATCTTAACTCTATATTCCAGGTCTATAGAACAACTCTGTGACTACAACTTTTCCTTGCAGTTACTGATATTTGCACAGAACATTTGTGATGTTCACATTAACCTATAAAAACTCTATGCAACGAACTCTACCTGCAACTTTGAATGTTCATCTACAGTGCCACCGAAACATAAAAAATAAACTATCCTGTAATCACAAGCTAGTCAAAACAATCTATGAAATACAATAAATTGTTAGCTAGTGATTACACCGTTACGTGCAAGAAAATCTGCAGCATATTAAAAGGATCACTATCAGTACTAATGTATATTCTTTATCAGAAAGCAATGGCAGTTACTAAAGCTGAAGGGAAAAAACCCTCAAAGCCATTGCATTTCTGTGATAGGGTATTTCTCTTTAATAATCAGAGTTTATAGATACATTCAAGGACAATTCAGCAGGGAAGCTGCTTCATTATGCTCATTTAGGAAAAGATAGCATTTCTTATGCAGTTTGCAAGAAGAAAAACAATCATCATGTAAACTGACTGGTTTCCCCCTGTTAGAATAAAAACCCCTATTCATGTAAACAGCCTTTTTATCACTTTTCAAGTGCATCAATATGATAGATGAGGAGAAATTTAATTTTCAGAAGCTACATTCAATAACTTAGGGTCATTTTTCTAAGACAAGACCTGCATACAGCAAGTTTACAAAAAAGCTGGAATTATGTCAATATACAAACCAAGCCATTCTGGGGCTTGGGGTTTTTTGTGTGTGTTTCTAACTTTTCACTATGCTTGCAAAGTAGAACAGGTTTGGGGTTTTTTTTGAAACAGCTGAAAAATTCTTTTTACTAACTGCATTCCTTTGTGTAACATGTAGTGACAAATCAGATCAATAGGCATTACAGTATACAATGTGCCCTAAGATCCCCTGTCAAAGTCATTATTTATAACTGACTACATTAGTCTAATATATGCATGCCTGGAACTAAAGGGGGAGAGCAAAACGAGGTAAAAGTTTAAAATACCCAAGACACAGAAAGGGGAATGTTTTAAGCAATTGCTTTCTTTCTGTTTGTATGCAAGCTTAACACTTTAACCATGACATTACCAATGTATGTATACATAATAAAGGAAAACATATCCAGCAGATGAATGATGCTTACTTCAGCATTGCGAGAAAAGCAGCAGGCTCAACATCTGGTATACGGATTTCATCTTTGTCCTCAGCAAGCTCTCCGTAAAACATCGCATGGAATACAGAGCTCCCAACAGCCAGGACATACTGTTGAGAAAGGGAAATCTTATTTCATGCTTTAAACTGAAAGCACTGCCAACAAAAACAATGTGGGAGAGCCACTGAGCATGCTGGGCTTTGCTGACACACCGGTAAGAAATGAAGTCAAAGTTAAGAACAGAATTACACATTTTACCTGCATTTTACTCGCATGGGCATATATGCATTAGCTACTGGAAAACGCTCATATCCACTACAGAAGTTAACTATTTCTAGAAAATCTCAAGAGTAATATTAATCAGCAGCACAAGCAGTATTCCTAACTTTACAATGACTGCCTTAGCACAAGCATACTGTTTAACCAAAACCAAAGAAACACAAGGGACAGACTAGTCCACCACATGTAGCCTTTTAAAACACAGAATTATGCCTGTCCCAGAAGAGCCGAGTCTCCCACGCTATGTCCAGGCATAACCGTGGGAGATCTCTCTGGCTATCCCCGCCCGAGCTGATAATGCAGCTGTTGCTTACTTTGTGTCCTGGCAGCCTCTGGGTCCCACCTGGTGGCCCGACCACAAAATGAACATCTGCCATCAAGTCATTGTTGAACATCACTGCATTTCTACAAACAGAGGCAGCGTGTTAATTTATGGCATCCAGTAACACTGAGCTTGCCCCAGACCCAAGAAATTAAATTTCTTAACAACTTGAAATTGCATGTTAGTAAAGAAAAGCAGGTCACACTTTGTTTTAAGCTACTTTACACATCATCACACAAATACACCAAAGAAAACAGTATGAAGAGATGGGTGTGCAATAAAAAACAAAACAAAAAACCTAGAAAAAACTTATGAGAACTTCTCAAAAAGTGGAAATCAAAGTCAAGCACATGTATCACTGAAAATTCCCGCTAAGGTCTAAAAGAAAATCTTTATGGGTACACTGCAGCTTCCAGCAACATTTTTTTTATTCAAGACCAACAGCTGCACTGTCTGGAAAAGAGATATTAAAATATTTTCCATTACCAAAATACTTGTTTCACACACACAAAGGAAAAAACAGAGAGCGAGAACACTACATTTACTTCAGCAAATAAATGAATAACTAAACACATGCATTACAAACATTTTGCTACTTTTCACTCCATTCAAACAGCAAAAATTAACTGCCCTGAACTTACCTCTCTCTGATGGTCGGATAAAGTCCTTGCCAATTAGGGGCCGGAATAGTGTTGTTGTTATTGAGATTTTGCTGGTGGTACTGCTGGACAGCAGTTGTATTAGTGTTGGCTGGTTTCTTTCGGGGAAAAATATCAGCAGCCATCTTCTTCTTCTTTTTGGTCTTCAGGGTAATGATTTCATAGCAAACTGGAGGCAATTTGCTGCTGCTACTGCTGCTGCTATTTCCCTTCTTAGAGCTCTTCTTGGACCTGTTCTTGACCGTCTCTGGAAGCATCAAGAAGAAGGTGAGACATTTCATGTTCTTTTCTTTCTCATCTACCATGAGTATACTCGTCTGTAAAGCTGGATAGCCTAACTAGCCAGGAGCATTAAGAAATGCACGTGGAAGCTGTTAAACAGAGAGCAGCAGAGCTGAGAGTTTGCTTCTTTTCCAGCAAGACAAGGTGACCTTTCCAGCGCACCGAGTAAGAAACTGGCTTTAAGTTTGATCCAGTACTTGAATCATTAAATACATCCCCATCATTCCTGCCAGTTTTATTTCTTTCCAGATCTCCTGATCAGAAATCGCCTGAAAGCGCTACACTCTGCCAGGAGGGTACGTGCGTGACCGTAGCATCGGCTTTCTGAAGGGGGCTAGCAAGACGCGCGGTAGCGCTGCTAGTCTGCTCAGCGAGCTGAACTTGTGCGTTGAAGAGATCGGAACAGAGTAGGTATTGCAGCCCTGCAGATGGAGTCAGACAGCGTTCGGAGCCAATAGCTGAAGTCACCGATAACGATTGGACCCAGCCGCACAGTGACACCTATTGTAACGTACGCTGCTCTGACATTAAAGCGACAGCAGTTGCACTACTACTTAATATGTAGTGCTAAGTAGTAAAGTAATAAATGGCATGCATGGTTGCATAAGCGCACGACTGGCCAGAAGCATGTGTGTTTTAGCTCTCCTTGATGCTGCGTGAATTTTCACAGGGGAAGCAATAAAAAGTTGAAATCAGTTAGAAAGACATATTTGAGTCTAAGTATTTCCATGGGAGCTATTTCCACATGCAGTCAGAAATAGCATGACTTCATATGTCTCTAGTATTCCCACAAATCCCTACCATAACAGTTGTACAGCAAAAACACGCCATAGCTATCAGAACCAAAGTAAAGCAACCAACCAGCAGCATCAAAGACAGACATGCAGTTAAACAATCCCTTTCAGTGCTGCTTCTACTCCAGTGTAACATGAATAGAGATGAGGTCACAGCTTTAGCTTTAACTCCTTATGTTTCCAGATAACGTAATAGCCTTTGACAGGGGTCCCACATCACTAAGCAGTGCTAATTAAGCCAGCTTACACCAGACATGGCTGCACCACATCGGAAGAAAACTTCTAGATGTGCAGATTAAAGCAAGCCAGAGGGAATATATTTAATCAATATTTCAAAGCATTAAAATAAGAAGTCCGAATGATTCAGAGAGTCTCAGGCAGAAATCACTCCTCGAGATGCAAACACACTCCGATTTTATTCACAAATACTTTCTGAAAATAAACAGGATAAGCTATGCCAACCAAATAATTTAAATAGGAAAGATGACTAATTTTCAGTCATTAGTTTACTTAGATCTTAAATTTAAATCACATTTCCTTAATAATAGGGCATGTGTATTAGAAACAAAACAACGCATAAAACAACCAAGCAAGCATAGCCACTGAAAAACAAAAGCAGGGAAATAAAAAATATTATATATTAGGTGTCAACATTTCAAACCTTTAAAATATTGGGAGGATAATTACAATATGATCTCATAATTATTTTTAAGTTTTAAAGAAAAAAATCCTCTTTGCTTTCAAAGCAAATTTAGCCGCTTTTAGCCTTAATTAATTTTGCTGGACAAGAGCACAACAGTGAAATTAAAGTGATCAAAGGCTGGTGCAGATATGGCTGATCTTGCTCAAGTCTCTGACAGAAAACTGCACTGACTTAAACCAAAGCACAGAAATGTTACTCAGGCTATTTACTGAAACACAGTCACAATTGCTTGAATCACAGCTACGGCTTTGTAACATGCAATCTCAGAATGTCTTTAAACCTGAAACTGTGCAGGTATTTCAAAGATTATCAGGTCTCCTTGGGAGATGCTCCATATTAAGCACTAACTAAACACCGTGGCAGTTGGCCATCTAGAGACTTTGCTGCAGTGTTTTGAGATGACACCATTTCCAGACACACATCTGTCCCCTCTGTCTGAAGCCACTGCTCAGGAAAGGGGGAAACAGAAGAATACACGTCCACGCCTCAGCTGCTACATTTCACAACCCAGAGTCTTAGTGCAAAATCACTCTCACCAGTAATTTAAAAGAAGATGGTAGATTATGCCTTATGTGGCTGAAAATCAGGTATGTTCCTAACTAAATGAAGAGGCAGGTTATACAATTTCCAAACAAATATTTTCTATCAAGTTATTCTTTTTCTTCCCCTCCCTCGTTTTCCTTTTTTATCTGCAACAGATTGATTTGGAAGGGAAACTAACAACCTAAGCCATATTGAACTGTAGAGAGGTAAAAGAAGGGGTAAAGGAGAAGAAACTTGCCCCACAAATGCAATGTTTACAACTGCTCACAGCTGACAGTTTATAACAGGGACACAGCAGGTATTCTCACCACAACATTTGAGTTTGTTGAGTTTGTGTAAGTTTTTCCCCCCCGCTTATGTAACTTTCCAGCCCTTCTAGTTATAGGAATAACCATTTTGCCACTGTACAGGAAAGACGTTTCAGAGGGAAGATGTTTAAAAAACCCTTAGCAATAACAGAAAAGCCACGCACTCTTCAGAAAACGTGGTACTCGGTATTGCAGTTGGCAGAAGGTGAAAGACAGCAGGGCTTAAGAGATTCATATGGGAGATTTGATTTTCATTCCATAAATCCATTTTATAGGCTACCAAAGTATATAAAAAAAATCAGGGTCCTCATTTTTTCAAATCATCTGACCAATACAAATCCAAAGACTATACACACACCGGCTAAGCTCACTGGGAGGCTGCAGAAGAGAGAGAATGACAGATGGACTGACCATTCAAACTCAGTCTGGGAAAGACAGATCATAAACGTGAACCAGTAGGAGTCCACCATATCTTTGACTTCTGTAAAACACAATGCATGTATAGCATGTTGTACTTCCCTGGGGAAGGAAGAGAAGGAGAAACTGCACCTGAATTATATTCTGCCTGAATCCAGAATTCAGACAGACCCCTAGCAGACAAGATGACAGGATAAAAATCCACCCCGGTAAATAAAAAGTGTAATTGCCATCTCTGTCTGTTCTTAAGCCACCCACCAAAATCTGGTCTGCTATAACTGGAAAATAGTGCTGATTCCACAAGAGACTCCAAAAGCTCCTACGAAAAACTACAAACCTGTTACAAGCTTTATGCCACTTCCCACTGCACTACTTCAGCTCAGAAATTAAGTCTCCTAGACCAATCATTAGATACATGTGAAATGGGGAAAAAAAAACCCAACAAAAAACCCCCAAACCCAAAGAGTTGCACTCACTATTCTTTCCATTTTGGCAGAAACTTCCATCTATTTTCCTACAACATAGTTTAGCAGTCAGTAAAAGCAACCTATGAACCCTGTTGAAAGACTAGTCAAAATCCCAAGTTCAAATCAGTCTGCCTCCAGCAAGAGGATCAAGGAAATTGACCTTCTTTCACCCAAAGATCTATCAATTTCTGAAAGCTTATTACAATGTGTTCCTAATCTTCTTCAGCAATTCTCATCTTTCTTCATTAATTATACATTAACAGAACCAAACTTGATAAATACAACTCAGATCAAGTGAAATATACTTCTTCAAAGACACATAAATCTTTATTTTATAAGCAAAGTAAGTTAAAATATTTCTAGTTTGACTAAAGTGTATAGGAAAATCCATGCTTAAATCTTAACACTGGCCTAATGAAAATCCAAAATGCTTACGACTTCACCTCTAGCAAAGCACTATATTCCAAGGCTGAGATACCACACATCAAGTTACATGCCCCTTTTCAAATTATTAGGAGCAATTTACAAGCCTTCGGAAATCAGCTCCTGACTAAATATTGTGAACAACTGAAGCATCAATTTTGCTGTTCATGTCCAAATGCGTGCAATATACCTGCAATCTCAGTTTCATGGGAGTCATATTATAGCCCAACTCTTGGTACAACTTTTAATAGTACGGTACTAGTATAATTATGCCTTTCTAAAGGTAACTTCTGATTGAGAAACAGTTTAATAGGTAAAGCAAAAACTTTTTTTTTCCCCTTCTTTTAATAAGTTGTGGTTTTCTATAGCTCTCATTTACAGGTCCAGTTCATGTTACTGCAGGAAGAACAGACAATTCTATAAAAAAAACAAGCTTTCATCAAAATTCCCAATTGTCTGTTACAACCAGATCATGAATAGAGGAATAAATTCCAAGTAGGCAATGAGAAAATGCATATACTACTTTTTTGTAAAGTTGCCAGGTATCTCCCTTGGCAGTTATTACGCCTATGCATTATTAATATTCTTTGTTTAAATTCTGGATTTCCCCATACAGGGAAATAAATTTCAGATGATGCATCCCAATTAACCAAAATAAACACACAATGTTACTGTTCAACAAATCTACCTGTCCACTGCTAATTTCCACTGAATTTGACTTTAAGCACTCCTTTAGAAATGGAATGTACAAGTTCAAAAACAAACCCAAAAAACTCAACAAACCGCACAGCTGAGGAGCCCAGTTCTGTTTACCTATGAATTATTTAGTCACCTGGAAGAATCCTCCCCACCCTTCTGTTTGCAAAAACACTCATTTGGAAAGGGGACTGATAGCTCTGCTCTTGATTTCCTGAAGTAAAAAAATGCATTGCAGTTGACAAAAACCTTCCAACCTCCTCTTTCACAAGTTTCTGATTGGCAGCACTGAAAGTAACCAAGATTGCATTCACTTCTGTCTGTTGCATGGAAAAACTGGCCCTGAAGTCTTACTCCTTAAGGTCTTCTATGGAAAAAAAAAAAAAAAAAAGATGACTAAAAGCAAGGAGAAAGATAGGTAAAACCATAAAGACTCTCCAAGATGCCAGAATACAGGGTAAAAAATAGAGAGTGTTTCTTTCCCAGAATTGCCAAGA